TTTTTTAACTGAGTTGCATATCTTTAAAATTGAGATTAAAAAAATACAGTGTACTTCTTATTAATAACAATAGCCGTTAGAGATGATGTCATCACTCGAAGATTAAAAAAGAAAATATTAATGGAGATCAACAATTGAGGCATGAAAATATCAATAAAAAAAAATTATAAAATGTCCATATCAGATACTTTAAACACAAAATAAAACTAATAAACCAAGTAAGAATAGCTTCTCATTATTAAACCTTTATATTTGCTATGTTTATCTTCAAAACGAATAATCTATTTCTAATTTTGTCTCTCTGTAGATACCAAAAATTAATTGCGTATTTATTTACAAACCTTTTATTTATTTTTATTTGAGAAACGATTCAAGTATAATTAATTTGAAAACAAACGGAGATTCGAAGGATTAGGACTAATTTTCCGAGAGAACGTGTTATAAAAAAATTTATCGTAATTCAACAGGACGGCAACGTTATTTATTATAATTTAAGAGGAAGTGAAGAAGTTTCGATCTTATTTTTTTATCTTTGTAATTAGAGGAAAGGAAAAACAGGAGATAATAATCAGTCATATCGAGTCATATTGAGGAATGTATCATAATGCTGGTAACGAAGAACGTATAATTAATTAAATGTAAAGTGGCTACTAAGCGTAAGTTCAATCAAATTTATCATGTATTTATTGTCAAATTGTCTGTCAACCATTCTCATTAGCATTGATATTTATACAGACATATATTACAAATTTTAACTCCGCAGGATACCTTAATAATAATTAATATCTATGATATGATAATTCTAAGAACGTTGGTGCGATTAATGCGGTCATTGCAGTAGGAATATTTCACAATAATAATAAATCAAAGGTGAACAAGCAAATCTGGGTGAATAGATTAAATACTATAAACTAAAACTAATAAAATAAATGTATAAATTTCGTCAAGTAAATTAAATGATCTTTAATATTAAGGAGATGTCAGTTTATAACTTAAGATAAAAGAAAAGAAAAAAAAAAAGAAAAAAAAAACGTAAGTTTATATATTCCTATCTATGTTTAGAAAATAATTTATCGTCATAAATATATATATATATA